AATCTTCAGCTCTTACAAAACTCTGCAGTCCATATTCTCTCCCACACATAACTCCACACACCTATTCTCACCAGCCTCCACTGGATCCCAGAAACCAGGTCAATTAGATCAGTTTCAAGACCCTCATTACCACCTTCAATTCTCTTCACAGTTTTACCCTTCAATATATCTGCAATCTAGTCTCCTGCTCATACCCTCCTCCTACTCAATCTTCACTCCTTTCATCCCACCATCAGTAGTTGAGCCTTCATCCTCTATGTCTTCTCTCTGGAATTCTCACCTAAAATCTCTTTGTCTTGTGTATTTTCCTGCCTTCAGAACCCTCTCAAACACATATATTTGACTGTGCCTTTTGTCAACCTCCTCAAACTCTGCCTCTTTTTCTCAATACTCAGTGATTCCCATCATTGCCGTGAAATGCCTTGAATTGTTCATCCTACTTGAAAGGTGTTATATAACTGCAAATAGTTGTAGCCTTGGTGAATCACCACAAAGTTTATTTAGCTTTCTATGCTTTTTTTTACTCAAAGCTATTCTAAACATACATAATGGAAAGGTGAAAAACAAATAGTGAGGAATAATCCTGTCTTAATAACATTCATGTGTTCATCTGATTCAATTGAGAACACTCTTGCTTCTGTATAAGAAAAGCGATGGGTTCAAGCCCGATGTTTGGAACTCACAGCCTAATACGTATTATTCCAGCACATCACTGGGGAAGTGCTAAATTGTTGGTACAGTAGTGCTATCTTTTGAATGCAATATTACACGTCTGTCTTTTGAGGTGGATAATTAAAAATGTCATGGCATGATTAGAAAAGAGAAGGGAGTTTCTCCCAGAATCCTGATCAACAATCCGCCAATTTAAATCCTTCTAGCTATTTGTGGGAGACTGTTGGTGTGAAACGCTGCAAAAAAAAAATCGCTACAGCATTTTGCTAGCAAGAAGCACTCCGTATTTGACAGTAATTACTTCTGAAGTACTTTGAGATGTCCTGATGTGACAAGGTGTTACAAAAATGCAAGTTCTACATTTTCTTCCTAATCTTTTTGTCTTGTTACAATGGACAGTGGTTCCTCTTCAGTACTGCAGAGTGAATGATTGATTTCATGCCACACTGCACTTTCAGTATTTACATTCCATTGTAGGAAAGCAGCACAAGAGCACAAGTGAGATTAGGATGAAGAAGACACTTCAGTCCATTTGATCTCACTCTTCCACCCTACTGTCTTCCCTTCACAGCATTAAGCTGTTTCTTAAATGAGTCATAACCCAAATATATCTATAGAATATTTCCAATGAAGCGTGAATGGGAGATTTTAGTGTTATAAATATCAGTTTTATAAATACCAATGGAAGTTATAAAAGGAAGTCCACAGTATTGATACATATAACAATACGAAGATGTGCATCCAATGAAATAGATACTGTGGGTGAAAGAGTGAAGAAATTATCAGCAGTCATTAGTCTGAAGCCATTTTAGTACATTTGACCATAGAGTGGTATATTACAGTGAACCTAAATACATTTATAATAGTTGCAGTAAATCTGCTGTAATAAAAGGACATTTGGAGTCTGACAAAACCTTGCTTAAGCTTGAGATCTTTTTAATGAAGATGATGTTTCAAACAAACACATCACAATTTGTTCCTTCCTGAATTAGCAAACTTTATTCAAAGTAGATGTCTTGCGGTCAGTAATATCCTGAAGTCTATAGCTGTCTTACCTGAGAATCCTACATCCAGGCATCCTGTTGCAGAGGATTCTTGTACCGAGACAGTCCTGGTTGCCAGGACAATGGTGGACTTGCTTTAAGTGCGAGACACCTGGGTTCAATTCCAGGCAGGGCGAAACCTTGGGCAAGTTTCCTTACTCCACACGCCTAATAATAATCCCTCCAAAACCAAAACAATAATAAATTGGTCACTCAATCCACGACTGTTTGTGAGACACTGCTGTGCGCAATTGGCTGCCGCGTTTCGTCCACAAACATATGGTCACTTCACTTTACAGTCTATTCTGTGAAGCGCTTTGAGACGTTGAGAAGACATGAAAAGCGCTATATCAAATGCAAGGATTAATATTATTATTAATAATCCTTGAATTTGACATAACGCCTTATTACGTCTTTGAGACATCTCAATGTGCTTCACAAAGTAAAGTTAATTGACTGTACATTTTGTGGACAAAACATGACAGCAAATTGCGCAGAGCAGTGTCCCTCAAACAGTTGTGGATTCAGTAATGAAATTCTTGTTTCTTTTAAGGGATTATTACCCCTGGAAAAGCGATCTGTCAATCGACTAGCAACCAGGTTCCTATTTTCTGCTAGGTAAATGAGGTGTGTGGCGTAAGGAAACTTTCCCAAAGTTTTGCCCTGCCATGGAATTGAACTCAGGTTCTCTGGCTTTCGAGGCTAGTGCTCTAATCACTAAGATACAGGACTCCACATAACCAGCAAATGTCAGCAAAATAAAGAGTGAGTGAATAAGCAGCTTACTCTCCTGCACCTGGAACAGTTCTTTACCTAATAAAGTAAAACTCTAAAAGCTCGCCCTGGGATAAGTCATCAACGCCACATAATTAGCCACTCACTCAATATCCCAGCTATTTCCCTTACAAAATGTTAATTTTGATGCTATGATGACTAGTCACCCTGGATAGATCATAACTACTCAGGTTTTCTCACTTTTAAGACAAATGTTTCCATGTTATATATCACTGACAGCATTCTGATCAGCCAGCATTTTTGGGTCTGTGATTATTTTTGCTATGCATTGTGTCATCAGCTTGCTTGGAGTTTTTGTAACCATGCAATTGATGATTACCATTCAGTTTTGCATTCGTGTATGAGCCATTGTAAATGTCTTAAAGACTCATGTGAGCATTTTGAATACAAAATGTAGAGACGTCATTGCCATGAAGATTCAAGTACTTTGTTCTTTCTAGATACGGTACTTTGGATAACTAGTCAACTATGATAAGTAGTGATTTGAGCTATTTCCCTTGGGGTGACAAGTTATCAGAGTGTCACTCTAATACCTTCATTGTATTTGCTTTGAATAACATAGTTGAAATTATTCTGAGTATGGAAAATGTAATAAGGAGAAAACTGACCAGCCAGTAAGTGGAGGCTGTGTAATTTGAATATGTCCTAGCACTTCAGACTGAGAATGTCATTCTCATGTTTCTCAGCCACAAAGTGTATGTATCACTATGTATTTTCTACAACTACCATTACATTTTAAATGCTTTTGAGAATAAACGCAGACACTCAGAGATTTTCAATAGGCTAGCGTGCACTATGAATGGAAAACTCTGCACAAATGCTGGGTTCAAAAGCCACTATCAAATTCAGAGGTATAAAAGATTAGACAGCTCTTAGTGAAAATCACAAGAATCACTGGAACAGTTTATGGATGTATCCCTTAGCAAAAGTAAGTAATTCCTCACTTGTTCAGTCATATCTAGACAGGACTTACTTGCTAGTGAACACAGATGTCTTCACTGTATGATACAAGGAAAGCATATGTATGAGATTTGAGATCTACCATGTGCTGTTAGCTGAAAATAGTGTTCTTTTTGCACCTTCTTTATAAAGAATGTCCCATCAGAAAGATGTAAGATTTCTATTTTTGTGACAAGTGTGCGATAAAGTTAATTATTTACTCTAACTTGGTGTAATTGCAGAATCGCAGAATTTTCAGAGTAATTCAGAATATTGCTGCTTTCTTCATTTCTCTGTATTTTTACTAAGTCGACAGCTGCTTTGTACTAATCTTTCCTTCTTGTTTCCTATTGCACAGGAATCCATCAACCTAACATTTAAGATCCGCACCATGAAAAGGTTGGATTTTGTGTCCTTCTTAATTTAGTGGAATTACGTTGTGTGGAATTATTAAATAAAATAAAAAATATTTTCAATTATTATAACACATACATAGAATACCTAAGAGTGCTTCACATAGAGTTACTTTAAAATGTAGTCAATGTGATGTAGGTTAAATTCATATATAATTCTCACAGAAATCAGTGTTTAGGTGACAATTCCTCATCTGAAAAATCTTTTCGGAATTACAATTCTACTCGATTTAATTTCAATCTACAACAAAGGGGATTGGGTAAAGGGAACTGGGTCTTTCTGGAACGTACGATGAGCTAGCTTTAAGGAGAATTATTTGGCAAACTAGGAGCTAATCTAACACATGTTTTTTGAGGAGCCGGTGATACTCCAAGGCACTGCTGATGACAGTCCAGCCGGCCTCAGCTGCTGTTAACCCTGTCTTAGCTGAACCTGCAGTGGGAAACTTGCCTGATCGTGCTCTCAATGGCAAGCTGTATGGTTTTAGCTGTACCCCAATGCACACTCTGGGGTCCCCAAGCCTTGGCTCCTGCCAATCGGCAGAATTAGATAAGCAGGATGCTTCTCTCCAGAGTGAGAGCGCATATTCTACTCCAATACATGGGAATTTCCATGTGCAGGTGGTATACATATGTGGTACTTTCAATCTGGTTTGAATAGTAGTAAGCATGGGGATGGGTTTCCTCATTTGTCACAGCTGATCCAACAAAATGACACTAGTCCAATCCAGACCAAAATGCTTGTCAAGCTTGAGCATGGTTTGGGAAGATAAACAGTAGATAAACAGATAAACAATTACGCCTGCAGAATAGTCTCCACTGCAGTTTACCTAATTAGACCCATTTGAAATTAATGGTTGGTCATTGTTTTATATAATACAATACAATATACATTATCTAGTACCGTTCATGTTAGGTGGATGTCTAAAAGGACTTAATGCAGCTGACCTGGCTCCTGAACCAGGGGTTGGGTTAGCTGAGTTGGGGGGGCGGGGGGAAGATGACCGAAGACACGGTCAAAGAGGTAAGTCTTGAGGTGGTCTTTGAAAATGGGTAGGGAGGGAGGTGTTGAGTCAGAAGGCCTCTAGGACAGAGTTTCAGGGACAACTTATATAACAAAATTCTAAAAACATCCTACCTTGTCACGTATTCCTTGTCGCATTATTTCCCTCTCAGCCTCAATTTTGGCATATTTTCCTGCACGCTCTTCTTCTTCCTGTCGAATAGCTTCTAGTCTTTCTTCCTCCTTTTTATCGGCATCAGGATCTTTCTCTTCATCCCCACCCAACATTTTCCCCATGTCTTTGGTCGCCCCTGAATACAAGACAGAAAAAAAGCAATAATAACATTGTCCACTAGTTGGTGGTAATTTTCACGGATTATTGTTATTATATGACTGATTAACCTCATTGCTCTGCTCGCCACTCCCTCCGGGGTCCAAATGCTCTCCTCCAAACTACTAATGCCACACTGTGTTGCAATACGCTAGGTGCAGTTGTATGGCTTAAGTATGATTTCAAGGAAATGTTAATTCAATTGATTTTCTCAGTATAGATTAGCATCCCTGTTCACTTTGCTTTTAGCCATCTCACAGTTTAGGCATAATGAGCAACTCAAACTAATATACCTAGATACCAATTTATTGGCTATTTGTAATAATAACAACACAGAATACCATGGCTGAAATGAACCCATGTTTATGTTTTATATCCTGAGGCACTGAACCACTGAACACCTCATTACAGGCTGATATTATTAATGAGCAGCTCTCTATAGCCTGAGATATAGGGGTGAAAAATGTGATCTTTTGTAAAAGACTCAAATAAACCAAATCTGATAAATGCTGAAATGACAGGTTTCTGATTGACTGATTTTGTAGTATTACGACTCTGCATGACTTAAGTGAGGTTCTTGTAAGTTATCACTTAAATTAAACAAAACCTTTCATTTGCCATAGTACCTATAACACTGAAATGTCTCAAAGTACTTTGTAGGTTAATTGCTGTAGTGACTATATTTGTGGGCAAACACAGAAACTAATTTGCACACAACAGGTTTTATAAACAGCCGAGGAGTCTTGTAGCTTAATGGTTTGAGCACTCGCCTCGCAAACGAGAGGACTTGGGTTTGATTTCTGGCAAGGCAAAACTTTGGGCAAGTTTCCTTGCTCCACATACCTCTTTTACCCAGCAGTAAGTAGGAACCCAATTGACAGATTACTTTTTCAGAGGTAATAATGCCTTAAAAAAAAAAAATTTGATCACTCAATCCACGACTGTTTGTGGGACACTACTATGCTCAATTGGCTGCTGCATTTCGCACACAAAATATAGTCAATTCACTTTACAGTATATTCTGTGAAGCGCTTTTAGATATCTCGAAGACATGATAAGGCGGGATATCAAATGCAAGTATGATTATTATTATGAAGTAAATGATGAATTTATGCAGAGGATTGTTGGCTAGGACAACGAGAGAAATACCTTCCCTTTTAAATAGTATCATGATATTTTAACCTCCATATGAACCGGTAAATGAAGTATCAATTTATCCAAAGGAACATTTCATCCAAAGGATGGCATCTACAACTATGCAGTTTTCCTCCAGTATGTCTAGCCTTCAGCTCAAAGTCGTGACATGGAGCTTGTACTCACAACCTTCCTTACCAGAGGTGAGAGTGCTACCAATTGAGCCAGGCTGACATCAATGAAAAACAGAGGAAGTAGCACATGCTAACAAGGCATATTCACTTCTGTTTCTGGAACACAATAGGCTATGTGTTACTAAGCAATGCTAGCACTTGTCCAAAACTGATTGGTATGCACATAGTAATACACATCCAAACACCTTACTTACAAAAATACTGAAAGAGGAAACTGGTCCAATTGCTTCCAGATATGTAATTAGTTTTTTTTATATATAAAAAGGTACCGCATTGCAGGTAGAAATGAGGGCATGATTAGCCCAAAGAGATGAAAAGCAAAACCCCAGAAAAAATAGAAAATAGAATCCTTCTGTTACAGTAATTACAAGGCCTTTGTTGAATTTAATATGGTTAAATGTTCTGCTTAGGAAATCAGTCAAACCAGCTTTCTGATTGAAGTGATCAACACTCAGTATTCAAACAATACAATACATCAAAAGGCTGATGTAAGTGGCTGATAAGGTTAATTATCTATGATTCTCTGACAGGAGATGTTTGCTGAGCCACAGCAACTCTTCAAAGTTATAACTTTCAGATGACCTTCAGTCATCTATTCTACTCTCAGTTGAATAGAACTGCATTAATTTTCTTATCATTAGATTTTGGCCGAGCTTTACAACCCTTTTAATAATAATCCTTGCATTTAATTTAGCTTCTTCATATCAGGAGAACATTCCTTCACAAGATATATGGTAAAGTGAAGTGACTGTGTTTTATATATATATATATAAATAAAATAAGGGAGTTTCTCCCGGTGTCCTGGCCAACAATCACCCCAAGTAAAATTGGTCACACACTCCATGGTTGATTGTGGGACATTTCTGTGTGCAACTGGCTGCTGAGTTTCACCCACAAAATATACAGTCAATCCACTTCACAGTATGTCCTGTGAAGCACTTTGCGATGTCTCGATAACATGATAAGCAGTGAGTCAAATGCAAGGATTGTTCCTATTATTAAAGAGGTCATCAGAAAACTTGAATTTTTTTCTTGAAATTCTTCAGTTAAGGAATATTAAAGGTTCCAGCTGGAAAAGGAAAAGAACAAAAACCCACGTAGTAACAAAGGAGTGGAAAGACCTGCACCCAGGACACTAATGGCCCCTGCACTGTCAGAAATGATTTACATTTATTCAAACCCACTCACTTCACATTTGAAGTTGCAACATTGGGCTAAGCCCTTTCAGTTGTTCTAAACTCCGATGACTTTGAGTCCTCACTGTTTTTTCTTTCTATTTAAAATATTTCTGTCTGACCTTTTGTACTAGCTGTGACATCCTTATTCAGCCAATCTGGCCTTGGTATGTTTCTTGGTTAACTCATTCGAGTGGATTTTGTTTCCATCTCTACTAAATCATTGAGCCTAAGTGCTCACACATTCCCAAATTATTGATCAGTTCTGGTGTATAGCAACATTATTTTATGCAACATAAAACCATAAGAAAACATAGAATGAGTAAAGGTAATTTAGCCTATCAAGCCCATTCCTTCACACAAAACATTCTATCATGTTTTCTGCTCAACTTCCTGATAATACGTTATGCAAAGGGAAATCTAGGACAAACCCAAAATATCCTACATCACATATTATTCATCCCTGGTTGACTTCTTCTTGTCCATTTATGCATTTTATCCAGCAGTTTAAGTTGCTCTCAACCATTCAGTGATATAGGGACTCACTGTACTCACTGTTCAGTGTTATAGGAACTCACTGTACTCATTGTTCTTTTCCTTATTCCATTCCTAGCCAGATACGCATCCAGCTCTAGTTTATAATCAACATTGCATTAATTATCTCTAAATGTCTTCCTAATCTAATGTTGCTCTTCAGTTTTGCACTCACAGTTCAAGTTAAATAGACTACTTATCAGTTTCTCTCAGCATTTCTAACCTACTTAATCTTCTTTTCTCCAGTAAACATAAGTTTAGCTCTGTGAGTCTCTCTGCATAACTTAGAGTCTGAGTCCTTGATTATGCCTTGTCCTTCCTGACTTCTCTCCCAAGTACCAGTGTACTTGTGAAGATAAACTGCCCAGAACTATTTATCTTTATTTAAAAATCACACACCAAAATGGATAAATAGGGAAAAAGAGAGATTTAAAAAAGATTTATAAAACTTATAAGGGAGAAACGAGAGGGTGAGAGATTAGAGAAGCCAAGAGAGAACTGGAAAGTGACTTAGCTACAAATGCAAAACATATCTCCCAGAAATTCTTTCAATATTATATCAGTAATATTGAACTGTGGAATCAGGGAAGGTTTTACAAAGAGAGCTTGATATGCACATGAGCTGATAACTGGCAAATGTAGTTCAATACAGACAAATGTGCTACCTATATAATGTAAGGAAACATAAGTACTCTGTGAATGGATAAAACGTTAAACCCGTTTAAAGAGTTATAGGGGAATTAATTGACTCATTGTTCACATTATCAAAACAAAATATTTTCTAAATGCTGAAAAACTAAGAACTGTGGAAGAGCACAGGGGTTTGGGTGTCCACATACACAAATAACTAAAAACAAGCTCACATTTACAAAAAGTTATCAAAAAGGCTAAAGGGATGTTGGTCTTTATCTCAAGGGGGCTGGAATATAAAGGAGAGGAAATGATGCTTCAACTGTATAGAGCTTTGATCAGACTCCATCTGGAGTACTGTGTTAAGTTTTGGGCACCGCATCACATGAAGGATATATTGGCTCTGGAGGGAGTGCAATGCAGATTCACCAGAATGGCTTACTAGGGCTTAAAGGGTTGAATTATGAAGACAGGTTCCATAAACATGGTCTGTATTCCCTTGAGTTTAGAAGGTTGAGGGGTGAGCTAAACAAAGTTTTTAAAATAATAAAGGGATTCAGTAAAGTGGATACAGAGAAACTATTTCCTCTGATGGGGGAATCCAGAACAAAGGAGCATAATCTTAAAATTAGAGCTCGGCCATTTAGGAGAGAAATTAGTTGGCAATTTTTCACCCAAAAGGTAGTAGAAATCTGGAACTCTCTCCTCCAAAAGGTTGTGGGTGCTGGATACATTCACACTTTCAAGACTGAGGTGGATAGATATTTGTTAGGCCAGGGTATTGAGGGATACGGAACAAGGGCAGGTAATTAGACTTGAGGTACAGATCAGCCATGATCTTAGGGAATGGAGGCACAGGCTCGAGGGGCTGAATGGCCTACTCCTGTTTCCATGTTTATCATGTCAAAACAATGTGAGGCAGAAATAAACAAGGCAAACAGGATGCTGGGCTGTGTTACTAAATCAGTTGAGTTCAGATCCTAGGATGCCATATTGAAGATGTATAATGCTCTGGTTAGGTTTGACATGAATCAAGCTATCAACAAACTTGAATATCATCCCTCTTGAGATCTCAAATCTCATCAGATCCACAGCCTTCTGACTCAGAGACGAGAGTGCTATCACTGAGCCAGGCTTATGTGTGTCAGCCTTACTCAGTGGTAGCACTCTCGCCTCTGAGTCAGAAGGTTATGGGTTCCAGCCCCACATTGGGGCTTGGAATCGCATAGTCTAGGCTGACAATCCAATACAGTGCTGGAGGTGTGTTGCATTGTCGGAGGTGCTGTCCTTCAAATGAGACGTTAAACCAACGT